ATCCATTTTCAAGAAGAGGCAGAACATGCTCGGCTAGTGTGGCTCAGTGGTTGAGCATCCATCCATGCACCAAAAGGTCGCCAGTTTGATTCCTGGTCAGGGCACATGCCCAGGCTGTGGGCCTGATCCCCAGTGGGGGCATGCAGGAGGCAGCCAGTCAATGATTTCTCCTTGATGTTTCTCTCTCTCTCTCCCCCCTACCTCTCTCTCTCAAATCAGTAAAGAAAAATTATTTAAGAAGAGACAGCACAAGTGATTACGCTGGCCATTGTAAGAGGAGTCTACTAGTACTGAGCTTCTGACTTATCTTCTTGCAATCTGATTCAGTGAGCCCTGGATGGTTTGGCTCAATGGTTAGAGCGTTGGCCTGTGGTCCAGAGAGACCCAGGTTTGGTTCCTGCTAAGGGCACGTACCGTGGTTGCAGTTTGTCCCTGGCCCCAGTTGGGGTCCTGCAGGAGGCAGCCACTTGATGTGTCCCTTTCACATTGATGTTTCTCTCTCTCTCTCTTCCTCTCTCTCCCTTCCACTCTACCTGAGCAAAAAATGGAAAAGTGTCCTCGGGTGAGGATAAAACAACAGCAATCAGATTCAGTGATTAGGAATTTGTAACTGCCCAGTGATTAAAGACCTCTTATGAACCCAGTGTTGGTGTGTGTGGGGGGGGAGGTGTCACAAGTTTATTTCTCGGTTAAAGCAGGACCATCACAGCTGTAGGACCGAAGGCAATCATAGAGAATAGGGGTGTGTGTGTGTGTTTCCTTCCCTCAGGAGGAAAACCGCCCCACCTAGGGCTACATCCTGGGCCCAAGAGCACCAGGTGCCTTGTAGGCTTTTTCTGATGCCTCTGTTCTTGTTACCCCAGAGCACAGCTGTGTGGTCACCTCTCTACAAAACCAAACCTACAATCTCCCAGGCTTCAGTCAGAAGAGTGATCTAGCAATGCACAAATCCAAAGAAAACTGGACTTGAAAAACTAGGTCTGTTTTAATGTCATCTTCACTTCTTGTTACTGAATAGTCTGTCTTTTTGCAAACGCCACTGCCGCAGGGGCTGGGGGAGCTAAGAGTCGCAGTAGAGCCACAGTGGTACAGAGCAGCAGCACTCCCAGGAGGCCACGGGTCAGAAACAAAAGCAAGTGTTCAGGAGTAGGGAGACCTAGCAGTTCTACTTCCCAGGCCAAACCCTGTGTTCTAGCTTCAAGCAGGGTAAGGACGCAATCTGGAGTAGAGTCCAGTGTCAGAAAATGATTAAAAACAACAAAAACCAACCACCTCTTCTCCAAAAGCAGCTTTGCAAACGGCTGTTTCTCATGCACTCAGTATCCTAGTCAACATGTCAAGTTCTAGGGATGCGGGGATGGGAGTGGGGTCATCCAAATAACCCCCATGATGTGACCAGTGCCTCAAAATATTTTGTCATAGCAAGAGGTGAAACTAAGGGAATGTGATGGATTTATCTGGACATATGCTCACTGGCTGCTTAACTCACCATATTAGGCCAGTCATTCATTCATTTATTCAGTGGCATTTGCAAAAAGACAGACTAGTCAGCAACAAAGAGAACTAAGTCACCCAAGTGAAGATGACATTAAAACTGACCTAGTTTTCCCAAGTCCAGTTTTCTTTATCAGTGTGTGCATTGCCAGCTCACTGACTGAAGCCTCCCCACCATGTCCTCCCCCCAGCCATTTCCCAACCATCTGGGAACTTCATCCTTTAGAATATCTAAATAGACCTCCTCTGAGGATATATTTGATCTGGGAAAGCAACCAAGTCTCGTGAGCAAGGAGGCTTGAAACAAGCTAGATTGGACCATGTTGGGTGAAGCACAGTCATGACTATATAAGGTCTTCTGGTATTGTATATAATTTTGTTCTGGAAGCCATTCCTAAAGGGAGGGGGCAAAATGTTTTCAGCAAGGACTTCATCATCAGGACCTATGCCTCCCAAGGCCAACATAACTCCTGGGAGGTTTAGAAGCTCTTTTGTTCCTCTTAGTTGCTGGATGGTCACTACATTTACTAGGTCTGGTGGTTCCTTGGCAAATTTAAACGCTTTCCTGATTTGACATAGAATGGTTGCATTTTTCTTTCTTTTTTTTTCTGACTTGCTCAAAAATAACAGGTCAGTGAAAAGTTAGTGGCCCCCAGTTGACCAATGGGTTTGGCATAAGCTAACTGAGAGAGGCAGGGAGCCACCACAGACAGTTCTGAGTAGGGGTGGATTTTCTTGTCTGGATCCCATTCCACAGGTTCCAAGTCAGAGGATCATTGCCCCCAACCCTCACCCCACTTTTATTTTTTTCTTTATTAATTGTTAGAGAGTGGAAGGGAGAGGGAGAAAGAGATAGAAACATCAATGAGAGTGAACATCGACTGGCCACCTCCTGCATGCCTCCCACTGGGGATCGGGCCCACAACCTGGGCATGAGACCTGACCGGGAATCGAACCAGTGACCTCTTGGTGCATGGGTTGACGCTCAACCACTAAGCCACACTGGCCGGGTTCACCTCACTTTTAAGATGAAGCAATTAAGCCCTGGCTGGTTTGGCTCAGCGGTTAGAGCATGGGCCTGCGATCCAGAGAGACCTGGGTTCCCTTCCCGCTAAGAGCATGTACCTTGATTGCAGTTTGTCCCCGGTCCCGGTTGGGGTCGTGTGGGTGGCAACCAGTCCATGTGTCTCTCTCACATTGATGTTTCTCTCTCTCTTCCTCCCTCTTTCCCTCCTGCTCTATCTGAAGATAAATGCAACCCTCAGGTGAGGATTAAAAAAAAAAAAAAAAGATGATGCGATTGAGCAATACTGGAGCCGAAGAATGTGAAGACAAATGGGTAAAGGAGACGTTTCTCTCCTCTCCCATTGGTATGGGGCATCACTTGCCCCTCGAGCTTATTTGAATCAAACCATAAGGGAGAAGTGGGGCCCTGGCTGGTGTGGCTCAGTTGGTTGGAGCATCGTCCCATGCACCAAATGGTTGCTGGTTTGATTCCTGGTCAGGTCATGTACCTAGGTTGCAAGTTTGATCCCCAGTGGGGGTGCATACAGGAGGCAACTGATTGATGTTTCTCTCATACATCGATGTTTCTCTCTCTCTCTCTCTCTCTCTCCCTTCCCTCTCTCTAAAATCAGTGAAACATATCCTCACGTGAGGATTAAAAAACAGAGAGAGAAGTGGAAGGTGGAAGAACACCTCAGTGTGACCCCCCAGCACACCTCTTAACGCGGGTGCGCCGGAGAGATCACTGCCTCTGAGCTTTGCCACATGCTCTGGCCCTGCCGTCCCTGAGGGGAGCTCTAAAAATGGCCCCTTCATTGAGTAACAACTGTTGGACCACAGGAACTTTAGTTAACAGTTGATCCAACCCTCTCTTAGGAAAGCAAAGCCTAGAGGTTACCTGTCAAGGTCGCAAACTGGTCAGTGGCAGGGCCAGGAGTGTTCCTGTCTGAAGTCACTGTCACACACAGAGGAAGACCTGGCCAACTGCCAAAAATGAAGGAAGGAAATGATCTTAGATGAAGACACGAGCGGACTGGGGAAGGGCCTCAAGACTGCCTTGCCACGGCAGCAGAGAACCTCCCAGGAAAGATGTCTGAGGGAGGAGGTGGGAAAGAGGAGTACAGATAAATTTATTAGTTAAATACTGATTTTACAGCCATTTCACCTTAAGACAATGTTAACAGGTTTGTGGGTTAGGGAAGGTATATGAGGGTGGCCTTCATGAAAGAAAACAATGTAAATGATGATTAAAACAGAATCTTGGTTTAGAGATATTCTCTGCTACAGCCTGTAGGATTTTGGGGTGGGGGGCCGGGTGCTTTGGGGTAGGACGTAATAAGGCCACAGTCTGCGACAGCTCTGTTGATAAGGACATGCTAGGAGGAGTCTGAGCCCCAGTGCAGGGCAGAAACAGCAACGTGGAGACAACAAAGGCCAATGCCACACCCCAGTGTCTTCTCATAGCGGTCGTCGTCTTTCTTGCCATGAGTTTTTTGTTTTTGCTTTGAATTTATGTTGTAAAACCCCTAGCTTTTCACCTCCTGGACATGAGATTTCTGCCGGAGAAAGGAGGCGGGTGCGGGCACTCTGCACCCCTTGGACAGACCCGCTGTCTGGCCCAGAGGCACATCTGCGCAGAACAGAAGTGGCGTCAGCAAGATCCAAGCGCAAGCGAGTCAGAATTCATGGAAAACGCTGCTCCCCATCTAGTGCCGACCCGGCGCGGCGGTGTCCACCCGACGGAAGGTCTCTCCAGAGGGATCTCATCTTAGATGAGCGTTGGTCAAACTCACTTTAGCAGCAGAACCTTTTTTGTTCTCACTCAGAACCTCGTGCGTGTTGGGTGGAGGAAGGATTTTGGGGGGCAGGCTTGCGGAGGGGGGTGGGGAGCTGCTGTTCGGCTAAACTGCCAAGCGCTTGTTTCGCTGAGGGAGAGACACGTTCATGCTGAAGGCAGAGTTGAATCACCCGGAACAGTGGAAGGGATTTTCATTTTCAGAGGTCTTGGGGTGAAGAGAAGGAGCGAAGGAATGAGGCCGTGAGCCTGGGAAAGGAGCGTGGGGGAGGCAAAGTCGCCAAGCCATACTGCATCGTGGGTGCGGCAGCCTCTCCTCCATCTCCCCACGAAGCACCCAGGAACATGGGCGGGACACCCAGCGTTTCTGGAGTCAAGATTCAGCATGAGGGATGCAGGGGTGTGCTGAGCCTGAAGGGGAGTGTTGGGCAAGGGCAGGAGCTACCCGGAGGGGCCTGTCACATCCGAAGGCACACGGATGCCCTGGCTCAGGCTGGAGCAGGGGTCCCAGGACCCTGCCCCTCTACCCTCAAATCCCAGTGCTAGGAACACCATGGAAGAACCACCACTGTAGGCCATGGTGATGGAAAGAGAGGACATCTCATCTCTTGTCGGGGTGGAGTGGGGCAGGAAACGAGAAAGATATCTCTAACTCCATGAAAGGGACTTGAGGGTGCTCCTGGTGAAGGATGGATGCTTCCAGTCGGGGCTCTCCCCTGTCCCCCATCTTGAAAAGGTATCTGATAAAATCCTACGCCCACTTCCCGTAACCAAATCATCGATTTCAAGTTTCTTCCCAGTTGTTCTGGAGTCATTCCCAGCAGAGCAGGCCGGCCACTGGGAGCCCAGCGCCTCCCCTCTGCTGTTCTCGAAGTCCCACAACCATGCAGGAATCTGAGGAGGGAGGGAGGTGACATTACGCAGTGATTATGTCCCCGTGACTGTCGGCCAAGGCCAGGCTGTTCCAAGGGTCCTGCTTGGAGCTGGCCTGCGGTGACTGGCTGATGGAAGATGCATAGCCTTGTGGGGAGAGCTTCAGGGCCGAGAGGACTGGGTGGATGGAGGGCCCGTGGCCAGACATCGCACTGACAGAGAACGTCTAAAACAAAAAGTGCAAGATGAGGTCAACGGAATCACTCCTGAGGGCTCAGGAGATGAAGCCACATTATGTAGATGTCCCCAGGCTGGCCCCCACCCAAGGCGAGGGATCAGAGGAGCAGGCCAAAGGACAAGGGCAGGACAAGGGACCCAGCAACACTTCTGTTTTTTCTACCCTGTGCTGTGGGTACCAAGGGTCTGTGTGATCCATCAGCTGCCACTGAGCAACATGCCCCAGTAGCTTGTGACTATTCTGGTGTCTCGGAAGCTCTAATAGTTACATGAGACATTTGCTACAATCTCATCACCATCAGATCTCCACTTCCTTTCTCTTTTTTTAAAAAATTTTTTATTCCTCACCAAGGATGTTTTTCTATTTATCATTAGAGTGGGAGAGAGAGAGAGAGACAGGGAGAAACATCAATGTGATAGAGACACATCAACTGGTTGCCTCCCACACGACCTGACCAGGGCCGGGGATGAACCGCAACAGATATACATGCCCTTGACCGGAATCGAACCCGAGACTCATTGGTCCGCAGGCCGATGCTCAAACCGCTGAGCCAAACCAGCCAGGGCCAGATCTCCACTTTTAAGCAGTAGCTGTCCTCCCCACCCGGAAGAGGCTCCTGGATCTTCTGGTTCTACAGAACCAGCTGCTCTTCACCCTGACAGTAAAAAGCTGGTTAGGACATGGCCTCCCACACATGTGAACAGGGAAGAAGTCAGAGCTAATGGGAGACTGTGACCAGGAACATCCTGATCCCAAATGAGGGGAGCCACAGAGGGAAGGGGGTGGAGGGTAGAGATGCTATCATATCCAAGAGAAGAGAATGAGGGGACTGCTGGTCCATCTTCTGGGCGCACGAGAAAGTTGGACCTGCAGCTGGTCCTCATTAAAATGACATCCAGTCTGTGACCTCTTCACCAACCCCAACACATCCACTGTGCCCTCTACAGTTTCCACTTTGCCCATGCCAGGAAGGTCCTCTTTCTCCCCTTCCTCCTATTAAAATCTACCCATCCTTCAAGGCCAAAGTCAAACCACCCCTCACTGAGGAGGCAAAGGAGCTGCCAAACATTTGTCTCGCCGTTTTGTGTCCAAATCATTGTGGCTTGATCGGATGTGCTGAAACAAATCTTTGTGCAGACAGCCCCTAGCCTCAGGTGGGCAGCGGGCAGCTACCTCGGCCATGCGCTCCGGACCTCAGTGCTGGCCTGGCCACCGGTGCTCTGGAACCTACTTCCCCACAGGCGGGCCTGTTCCCTGGCCCAGGGGCGCACCTGAGACATGGAGCTGCTGTGGCCATAATGGGATGCCAGCCCAGGCTCAGTCTTGATGGGGCGCATCTCTTCACTGCTGCTGGTGGTCACGGTGCTGGAGTTGCTGGAAACGCTGCTGGTGGGAGGAAGGCTCTCACTGCCGGAGGGACCTGGAACAAGGCAGAGTCAGGACACCCAGAGCAGGGGCAGGGACAGATGGATGGCCATCTTTTGAGACCACCACGCTGGGTCTGAGCTAATGGCTTATTTACATTTGCTGGGGAGAAAAGCAGGGGTCCTTCCTCTGGAGGGTAGCGGTTCCCAAGATAAGATTTTCAAGGGAACTTTTTTTGAAATGACAGGTATATTCACCCCTTATCCCAACCCTCTGAGGCCACAGGCGTTTCAGTGTTCAAAAATTTTTTTGATTTTTGAAAAGGGCATATACCATTCATTATACAACACCTCCAGCGAGGTCTGGGACAACACCCACATTGAAATACATGAATAGTTCTACAGCAAAATATGTGGATATTCACAAGTGGGGCAAATAAAAGACGATCACTAGCCTGTGTCTGTTCACTTTAGGTTTTGCTGTCAAATCCAGCACCCTGGGTTTTGGATTTTGGAGGGGAATGTGCACCTGAACCAGGTGCCTGTTCTTCCTGTGCCTGCGCTTGACTCGTCAGCAGATGAAGTTACCGGGGTGGTGGGGGGTATTTATAAACAGTGCGGAAACAGGAGGAAAGAAGAGGGCACTGGGGTCTAATAAGGCACAACCGCCAGAGGAGTGAGCCACTGTTGAATCTGGAAAAGGACACGTTAGTGGAAAGGGGAAATGTAGCTGACTCTGCGTGACAATGTTTCCATCAGATCAGCCCACTGATTTTTTTCTGCGATGATGGCATTTCACAGTGAAATCTTTCATTTGGTAGCAGGACGAAGGAGGAAGTGCTCTTGGAGGGAACATAGACAGTCCTCAGTCTTAATCTAGAAATTGAGAAGGCAGGGTGGTATCTCCCCCCCCCCCATTCCAATTTCTTACCAGAGGACATGTTTTTTGTTTTTTGATTTTAGAGAGAGGGGAAGGGAGAGAAACATCGATGTGAGAGAGAAACATTGATCGGTTGCCTCCGCAGGCGCCCGAACTGGGGATCGAACCCGCAACCTAGGTATGTTCCCTAACCGGAAATTGAACCTGCAACCTTTCAGTGTTTGGGATGACACTCCAACCAACTGAGCCACCCAGCCAGGCAGGGGTTAGTATCTTAAACAGCAAATGGACCCTGAAGTGTGAAAACTTGGGTTTTCATTCTAGATCTACCTATAACCCATCCACAGCTGTATGATTCTGGTTAAGTCACTGTCCTCTCTGAGCCTAAATTTGCTTGTTTGTAAAATGGAGGAAAAAATGGGATCTCATGGGGGTCTTTAAAGATCAATATTTGTGAAGAAACTAAAAGTACAGAGTACTACTGATGTTAATTATACACTGGCTTTCAAACCTGTCTGTTGTGAACATGATTAATGGGGCCCTATCCTCCCAGACACCAAAGATGAAGGGACCAAGTAATGTTCCTTTTTCTTTCAGGCCCTCGACCAGGCCAGCTGGCCCACTGTAGCCTTTGTGACTGGCAATGATCAGGCTACAACTTGACTTGAGCCTACTTCAAAAGCTCCGAATATGTCCCACGGTGATATTTCTTCTATACTGGGTTATCCTTTTCTGTCCTGAAAAGCTGGGGATGGATGTTGCTAACTTTGTACCTTGACTACCTGGGTCTGCTCACCTAAGAACACATTCACACACACTCCAAGGGCTACAGATGTATTCATATAATTAGACACAGCTCTTTTCCTCACCTGCTGATGTCTTAGATTTATTAAGGTTCTTGGGCTTCCGTTTTCTGGTCTGAATCCCCTCTTTCCGCATCGCAAGAGGCCTGGGAACCTAGGGGATTACAAGTCAATAGACACAGTTTTCCATTTGTACATGATCAGCTATAGTATTTAAACACACACACACACAAATAGTAAGACAACATCTACGCAATTCCTCTTTAAGCCTTGGAGCTGAGACTAAGTAATCAGCCCCTGGAACTCCTGCTGAGAAAAACATTAATTTTATTTATTTTTAAATGTATTGAGCACCTTTATTACATGCTGGGTATTATACTAGACCCCAAAGAATCAGAGACTGAAGGACAGAGGTCCAGGTTTAGTGAGAAGGACAGACAACTGGAAAATAACCAGATTCATAGGTGATGTGGGAGACCTCCGTCCGGGGCTGGGGAGGGGGAAGTGGCCCATGAGCACATCGAGGAAGGCTTCACTGAAGAGGTGCCCTCTGAGCTGTAGGAGGTTGTGGAGTAGACAGGGGCAGGGATGTCAGGCAGCAGGAACACTGTGTGCCAAAACCTTTCATTTAACCGCCACATCAAGACACTGTCAGAGGGAAAATGCATGCTCTTCTTAGATTATGCCAAGGAAACGGGCATAAACTGGGCCAGTCCCTGTGAGTCAAGATGTAAAGACACTACTCAGAGCAGCTCTGCACTGCTCTGAATCTGACTGAGCCAACGGTGGTGTTTCCATGGGAGCAGCCAGACATTATGCTGGAGAGACTGACCTGTAGCCAGGTGCTGAGACAACTGTCTGCAGCCAATACTTTTATCCGATCTGACTTCTTATAAACAAGCAATGACTGTCAGGTGTCACTCACAGAGGCATAAACAAGTGTCTGGGGGGCAAGCCTGCCTCCTTCTGGTATTTTAAAATACTGTGCTTTCCCCACATCTGGTTTCTTTTAGGCCTGGCCAACAATAGCTTTTAGGCCCTGGTCTGTGCTTGTCTCCCATATGGGACTAATAAAGGCCACACCTGCAAATACTGAAAGAAAAGCAATCACCACTTCAGAGATGTCAGCACGAATGGTTAAGAGACTTGTGCCTGTACATGGACTTGAACTTGCCTTCTAGTCAACTGAATGTCAAAGGAGACAGCACTGCCACCTTTGAGGGAAAGTCCTGCACACAGGTCCTCTTAAAGCCCGTCCTGACTTCAGAAGAAACTTATCCCCACCCACCTCAGAACTTAAGTTTTTAAAATTGTGGTAAAATACATATAACATGAAATTTACCATTTTAACCATTTTTAAGTGCACGGTTCAGTAGTATTCAGTACAGTCACACTGTTCATCTTGCAATATTGAAACTCTGTACCCATTACATAACTCCCCTTTCCCCCACCCCCTTCCCCACAGCCCCTGGCAGCCACCATTCTACTTTCTATCTCTGGTATGACCACTCTTGGCGCCTCATGTAAGTGGAATCATGTAGTGTTTGTCGTTTTGTGACTAACTTATTTCTCTGAGCATAACGACTTCAAGGTTCATCCATGTTGTGGCATGGGTCAGAATTTCATTCCTTTCTAAAATTAATTAAAATTTTTTTTATTTTATTGATTTTAGAGTGAGGAAAGGCGAGGTAGAGAGAGAGAGAGGAACACAGATGTGAGAGAGAAACATCGATTGACTGCCTCCCGCGTATGCCCTGACCGGGGCCCCAAACCCACAACCTGGGTTTGGGAAATGTGCTCTGTCTGGGAATTGAATCTGCCTCCCTTTAGTGTAGGGCATGATACGCCAACCAACTGAACCACACTAGGCAGAGCAGAATTTCTTTCCTTTAAAAGGCTGAATAATATTCTATTGTATGTACATACCACATTTTATTTATCCATCCATCCATCCATCCATCCATCCATCCATCCATCCAAAGATATAAGGGTTGTTTGGGCTATTGTGAATAATACTGCTATGAACATGAGTGTACAGACATCTTTCCAAGACCCTGCTTTCAATTCTTTCTCTTTTTTAGGTTTTTATTTATTATCTTTATTGTTGAAAGTATTACAGATGTCTCTCCTTTTTTCTCCCATTGACATCCCCTCCTCTCATCACAGTGTTGTCTGCATCCAATGATTATGCATATATGCATATAAATTCTTTGATTTATCTCTTCCTGCCCCCCCTCCCCATACCCCTTCCCTCTGAAGTTTGTCAGTCTGTTCCATGTCTCTGGATCTATTTTGTTTGACAGTCAGTTCTTTTTTGGATATGTACCCAGAAGAGGGACTGCTGGGCCATACGGTAATTCTACTTTGAATTTTTTCAGAACACAATCACAATCTTTTAAATACCCACGTAATATTCCTCTATTAGTCCCCTCACCCCTTCCCACAATAATTTCTTTAATCATTTTCCTCCTGGAAGTTTTTTTTTTTTCCATTTTTACTATCACAGTGACTCAACAAACATCTTTGTATACATTTCTTAAAGAAACAAGTATATTTTCTTATGAATGTTCTTAGCCATATTTTGGCCATGTTTTGCTCATTATAACATAAAAACATGCATGAGATTAAGTTAATAACACCCCCTCCCACCCCACTACCATGAGGCAATTGGAGTAACAACCTGTGTTCCTGACATTTAAAAAAATTCTCAAACATGTGTGTACATGTACATAGCTATACATGTATGTATGTGTGTACTCATCATCCATCCATTCTCCCATCTGTGTGTATGTCTGCTGTACCCTCACGCCATAGTATGGGGTCATAATATATATATATTTCTTTGCAATGTGGTTTTTCATTACTCCAGGTTAAGATACATTCCTTTTTCATTTCTGTACAGCAGTCTACATTATAGGATGTGACATAATTTATTCAACCATTCCTTTATGAGGCTTGAGGATTGTTTTTAGTTTTTGCCAGTATAAACACTGCAGCAATAAATAGTTCAAACATCATTAGGTACTGATTCTTTTATTGTTTTATAGGCTAGTTTCTCAAAAGTAGAGCTGCTACATCAAAAGGCATGTTTTTTTAACCTTAGTAAGTACTGCTAGGTTAATTTCCTGAAAGAAAATGTGCAATTAATTCACATACAAATCAACAATATAAAGTATGAGAGTATCTGTTTTCCCAAATCCATACCACAGCTACATAGTATCACCCATTTTAATTTTTGCCAAACACATGGGCAAGACAGGGAATCTCAAGGTTGTTTTAATTTACATTTCCCTGATTTGTAGTGAGGTCCAGCATCTCTGCACATGTTCAGTGGCTATCTGAGCTTCTCCTATGAATTGTCTATTTATATCTTTTGCCCATTTTGGGAAATGGGGGAAGATGGATTGTCATTTTCATATTATTCTATGGGGTCTCTTTTTCCCCCCTTGTGTTGTTTTATTTTAACTTATATTTGAACAAGTAAGACATGCACATGCACCATCTAAAAGGGAAAGGGGGTACACAGTGAAAAAAGAGTGTCCCTCAAACTTCCTGTTGCTTTTCCTAGAGGCAACCCATGCTGCAGGCTACCAGTTTCCTATGTATCCTTCCAGGTGTTTATGCATATAAACTACTGCATGTAAATTACCTTCCTTCTCTTTCTTCATAAAAATGGTGCCATACGGTGTACAGTATTTTACATCGACATTTTATAGCACTATATAATGGAGATTGTTGCAAATCAGAACACAAAGAGCTTTGTAAAAGCTCTCTGTATTCTGGAAATGTTAACCCTTTTTCTGATATGTGTATTGGTTTTTACTTTCCTCAGGTATCTTTTTTCCATACACTAATATTAAATGCTCAGTCAAATATATCTGGCCTTTATCTTGTGGCTTAAGAGTTTTGAAAACTTGCCTAACAAGTTCTGCTCTCACCCAGAAGGTCATATAAATACTGTCCCCTAGATTCTCTTCTAGTAGTTTTATTGTCTCTATTTAAAGATGTTTTACATTTCATATCTTTAATTCATCTAAGTTTATTTTTGGTTTTGGTAGGAGGTGGAGGTCAAGCTTTGCTTTTGTTTTCCAGATTTTGTCAATACAACTATTCTTAAGCTATCTTTTATCAACTGAATTGTCACCTTCGTTTTATATCATTCTACCATATGTACAGACTACTTCAGAATCTCCTCATCTGTCAAATGGGAATTAGCCTTATATAATGTTAAAGATGAAGTGACTGACAGTGTTTTCTGCTATGGTATGAAAGTCTGTGTCCCCCCAAAATTCATGTTAGAAACCTATCCTTCAAGATAATGTTATCAGGAGGTGGGGCTTTGGGGAGGTTATTAGGCCACAGGGGTGGAGCCCCAATAATTGGATTAGTGCCCTCATAAAAGAGGCTCCAGAGAGCTCCCTCATACCATGTGAGCATACATGGAAAAGTCTGACCTGGAAGAGGGCCCTCACTCCACTGTGCTGGTGCCCTGGTCTCCCACTTCCAGCCTCCAGACTGTGAGAGATACATTTCTATTTAGAAGTTGCCGGGTCTGTGGTATTCTGTTGGAGCACCTGAATGGACTAATGCAGTCTATACAATTTCCTTCCACATCTAAGTATCCTTGTTAATAAAGTATAGTCTGAAGGGAGGAAGACAAGTGAGAACAGAGTGATGAAAGATCATGAGTGCTGGTCAAGGTGGCCGTCCTGCACTGGGGATGGACTACTTACGCCATGGAGCTTCATGTACAGGCCACAGGCGTTGCACACGGGCTCCCCTTCTGCATTGCGGCGCCACAGCGTGGTGGTAGTGGTCTGGCAGTTGGCACAGGAGAGGCCCACCCGGCGGGAAGCGGACTGCAACACAGGAGACAAACCCTTCAAGTCCAAGTAAAAGGCAGGTGTTGCTGTTTCTACCTCGCAGGGAGTGCTGCAGGGCTGGGCCCTCCCTAAATGGGCGGTGGGGGCAGGCTCTAATAATCCTGTGTGGACATCTCAGCCCAGCCATGGGGCCAGGGTCTTCCTCTGCCTGAGCCACTCCTGGGTGGGAGAAACTTCTGCTGTGGGAGAATCCTAGTCCTAACCGGGGCTTTAGTGACATTAGTAGTCATTCAGCATCAGATGGACAGCCCAACGGGCACTTGGCACTGGAGGCAGAAAAGCTTCTCTCTAACGTAGATTTAACATGGTTTTCAGGTGCCAGGCTCAGGTGGCAGGTGAGGATTTATTGTTTCTAACTGTCATTAGAGATTGGATGGTCCGTGGAACCCCAAGAAAGGGAAACATCAGGGTTTATCTCCTCTGTTCTTCCCTCCCTGATATACACACAACCAGTACGTATTGGTCAAAATCAAACTGTAGTAAGAAAAGACCACAGAACCAAGAACCAAGAACCAAAAACTCAGTTCCAAAATCTTCCTCAGCCACAGGGCCCAGTCCACTCTGTTTAACCGCCCTGGGCTTTGGGTTGATCAACTGAAAACAGGGTAAGTAACAATGTATTAAGAAAAAGTTGACCTTCCTCATGGGGTTGATGGGAGCACAGGAGACCACAAGACAACGCTGGACTAGGAATCAGGAAGTCTGGACTCACCTGTGTGACCACAAGCAAGGCCATTAGCTTATCAGAGCCTCACTTTTCAGTTGTGCATAATGAAGGGCTTGAATCAGATGTTCTTGTGACGATTAATAGACAGAAACCTCATTTAAATTGAAGTTGGGAGGGCCTGTAGGGGGAGCTCTCATGGGGCACTACTCATCATCAATTCCCCCAAACAAGAAGAGACAGGAAGATGTTTTTCTACTCTCCTACTCCAGCAGGTAGATGGAGAGTCTTCTCCTCCCCCCACAAGACTATTACCACTCAGCCAATGAAAAGCTGCTACACTTCCAACTCCCAGTTACTTCCTACAGACTCCTAGTTCTCAACAGCCCCTCTGAACTCCCCCTTTCCTCTGTAAAAGAATGTTCCCCTCCTCTGTCATCTGGACTTGGCATGGTTTACCATTAGACCACACATCCTGAATTACAAATCTTTGTTGTTCCAGAATCAACCCATTTTGCCGGAGACATATCTGGCTACTTGTTCAAGGTCAACAGTCTGGAACAAACATGTAGCTCAAGCTAACCCGTAAGGTGTGAGAAATTACTATGTAGCCTCTACTTACCCACCCAACCCCTCTAACCACATCTTCTTTTAAAGATGACTCAAAATCCAAAATTCAAAATCAGGAAATTCCCACCACAGTAGGAGCCTTGAAGCCAGGTGCTGAGAGGAGAGAAATGTGCCCCCCCCCCCCCTTCAAGGCTGTTGGACCTCTGTGGTCTGGGTACTTGCTTACCAGCCGGCGCTGGGGCTTGATGAGGGGCCGGTTGATGCCGTTCATCTTGTGGTAAAGGCCACAGGCGTTGCATAGGTAGTGCCCTGTCCCATCCCGCCTCCAGAGTGGGGTAGACATGGCCCCACAGTTGACACACTCTCTGCCTTCCGAGAAGTCATCAAACATATCTACTGGGTAAGAAATAACACAGAGGATTAATTCTTTGTTTATTCCCATTAACCTCATGTCAGAAAATCTAGAGACCAAAGAAAGAATGCCCTCTCCTTGCAAGAAGAATGGATCGCCTTGGGGCCTCACTCTGACCTCAACCCCTGGGGGATCTATCTGCTCAGAGGCCTATCTTGGGAAGTGGACATTTTTACTCTCGGACATCCCAGACACAGCAGGGCTCTCCTTAGGAGAAAGGAACAGAGTCTGGCGGCAACGACAAGTGGCCTGATTTTAGCCCCTCATCTCTCCTTCAGATCCTGTAACTCTGAAGTTCTCACCTAACAGTCAGTTCCACTCTGACCTTCTGTCTCTCTCTTTTTCCTTTCAAAATTAAGGTTCTTTTACCCTTTGAATAAAAATAATAAATATTAACTTCAGGAAAATTAAAAAACACTGAAATATGTAAAAAAAATATAAATCATATATAATCCTATAACTCAAAGATCACCAGTGTTCTTAGCATCTTGTTCTATTATATCCTTTGCAATATTGTGTATATACACATATTAAAAAATTTTTTTCTTTATTGATTTTTAGAGAGAGAATATGGGAGAGGGAGAGAGAGACAGAAACATCAATGAGAGAACATCAATTGGCCGCTTCCTGCACGTCCCCCACTGGGGATTGGGCCCACAACCTGGGCATGTGCCCTAACTGGGAATCAAACTGATGATCTCTTGGTGCATGGGGTCGACGCACAACCACTGAGCCACACTGGCCGGGCTATAGACATATATTTTTGACTGGCTGAGGTCAAGCTATATAATTTTGAGCCTGTTTTTTTCACTTAATACCAAAGCCTTTTCCCATATTAGAATTCTTTGTAATTAATTTTAAATGCAATATAAGATCCCATTATATAAACGTGCCATCCTTTAACTACTGTCATGGACCTTTATTTAATATTTACCCAGTTTCTGATTTTTATTTTGTAAACATTGCTCATTTTGTACACAAATTTTAGCATTTCTGGTTACTTCTTAGGATGCTCCCCCGTAGAAGTAGAACTAGTTAACCAAAAGGGACTACAATTTTTGGAAAGTTTTTGAAATTTTCAAACTGCCTTGTAAAAAACAAAAGGCTGTAATTTATTTTCTCATTTCAATATATCCATCTGGTATTCTGTGTCACAGTTTGACATATTTTCTTGCTCACTGGTACAAAGAATAAAAGTACACATTATAGCAATGGCGACAGAGCTGATCACACTTCCACAGGAAAGTTGCCATCAATTGTCACTCTCTCACCTGCCCTCCCCCCGCCCCATAACCTTTCTCTTCCGAGTCTACAGAACGTCACAGTTGCTACATTCCACTCGTGTCCATTTCAGCGGCCCTGGTGAAATCGGCTGGGCCACTTGGTTATCTCCTACAGTCTATATAAAACCCGGCTCAGACTTTCCAGAAGTCTCTCTGACTCCATGTACACTGCTTCTTATTTTTAAAATGTTTATATCTTTTCCAAGTTTTCTGCCCCTAAATATAGCTACCCTGGTGTCCAAATTGTTCTTGTCCCACTACCAGAGGCAAAAATGAATTCTTCTCTTGCAAAAGAGGTAGATATTTGGAGGGGAGGGTTTTTAAGAGCTCTCTCTTCAGCAGGACCCAGCCCTGGGGTTTAAAGATGTACATTCTGCTACTTGTGTGACTTGGATACCTGCTCTAAGGAAACAGTGAGCTGAAGAAGAGGATGGCCCTCCCCTCAGCTCTGGGTACACAAACAGTCATTTGCACCTGCAAACAAGTAGCTGTATGTCTACAGGAGTCAATAATGTGCAGGTGTGAGGGGCTGTTTGCTCAGGCCAGGGAGCTGAGCACACACTGGTCACAAGAGAGGCTATTTTTGTACCTGGGTCACACTGAGAACCCTGCAGCAAGGTCACTTGCCTACACAGCCGCACATGAAAAAGCAAGTCAGGCGCACAGCTTGCTCCCCCAAGCCTGGGGGAGGCATGGTGTGAGCAACAACCTGCACACCACCCTCAGGTGGGCGTGTACCTTCCCTTGCCCAGGGCTGGTAAACCCTGCTTCCTCAACCCAGGCCTTCCCTGAGGGAACTGGAAAGGCCAGGAGAGTTCACAGAGGACCATAGACCAAGGTGGGGTCCTTGCAAAGCCATCATTTTGCTGAGTGTTTGCAATAAACGCTAGATGGCACCACAGCCTCAAAATTGAATGAAGGCACTGTGTTCTGGTATAAAATGCTTGGGAATCATCTCACCAGTCCCAAACTAGGGCAACCCTCTTACTCTACTTTTTTATTATAAAAAATTTCAACATATTCAGAAGTGGACAGAACTCTTATTTAATTGTCATTCAGCTTCCAACAATGTGTGCCCAATCTTGCCTCGTGTGTGCCTCCAACTACTTTCCCCAGTCCTGTGTAACGAGAAAATCCCACACAGTCTATCATTTCATTCACAAATACTTCAGTGTGTAGTTATCACGGGCAAAGATCATCCTCTCCTTTTAAAGAAAAGCAATCTGGCTTCTTTCCTATGTTCTGGTTTATCCAAAGAAGGTTCCAGAGACAAAAGCCTCATAGTCCGTTCCTCTTTTGCTCTCTTCACACTTACTGCTTTCTATGTGGGGACAAAATTTCATAGAAGAAGCCACCCTAGCAATCCTAGGTCTCTGCTGGTGACTGGCCTTAGGCTGCTTTGCGAAGCCAACACAAAGGTTTGCCTTAAAAACTCCTTGCCTCACAGAATGGGTTACACAGTCAAGCAAGGATTTTTCTGGCCAGGGAAAGGCAAGTACGTATTTGTCACTGATAAACATTTACTGAGTATCTGTTATTTAAGCACTCTGACAGATGTCACAGGAGCTAAGAGGGAGACTTATTCTCAGAATGCTAATGACCCACTTGGGCAAATTGAGCCAGAATATCAATAATGAGTAACAATGTTACTCAGTTCAATTTCAGAACATACCTTCACCAAGTTGGGGGTTTGAGTGGCAGAAACTTCTCGTCTAGGGTAGAAAGCACAGAATTCCGGCTTAGACGAAAAGGTCTGTGTCACAGTAGCGGCCACAGGAAAGAACTGAACGGGAGGTCAAGGCCATGCTTCCCAAGTGTGTCTTCCCCACAACCCCACACCTTCAAATCTGCACAAGTTTCCGTCTTCTCTACCGGAAACTTGCCATCCAACCTACCCAATGAAGTTACATAATTTTAAATGGTCATTATAAAGATGATGTAACAATAGAGGAAAATGCTTACCCAACATGTTAAATAAAAAAGGCAGCACACAAAATGCCGTGTAAGAAACTTTTGTTAGGCTGGTTAAATGGTATGGATTCATCTTTTTAAAAAAAACAACAAAACTGGCCCTGGCCAGTTTGGCTCAGCGGTTAGCGTCGGCCTGCAGTCCAGAGAGACCCGGGTTCGGTTCCCACTCAGGGCATGTACCTCGGTTGCAGTTTGTCCCCGGCCCTGGTTGGGTCATGCGGGAGACAGCCACTCAATGTGTCCCTTTCACATCGATGTTTCTCTCTCTCTCTCTCTCTCTCTCTCTTCCTCTCTCTCCCTCCCGCTCTATCTGAACAAAAAATGAAAAAATGTCCTCGGGTGAGAATAAAAACAACAACTGTAATGTCATAATTGCCTATTTTTAAAAATCTGATAAAAATGAAACAAAAAATATGTTGATCAGATCACATCAAGCAACTCCCAGTCCACTATGGGAGAAGGGACTATTTTACTCTCTTACATTTGACACATACCCCACCACCACCCCCAACTAAAGAAAGGAGAGAAAGAGTGCAAATCCTGCTGCTTAGCACCCACTCTGGGGAAAGTGGGAGATGACAGGCTGTGGGCCTCAAACCAGCACTAATATCTGGAGGTGTGTGCCTTGGTAACAACCATCTCTTACTCATCATTAGAAATGCGTAGGTGGAACTTCCTGAGGGCAGTGAGCAGTAGCCTGAAGCCAATTTCTAAGGCAGAAGGGCACAGCTATGGCCTTGACTTATGAAAGCCACACCCACCTGGTGCTGGGCACCATGGGAACTGGCTCAGCCACTTAGAAGGCAGTGGGAAGGCAGCTCTAGGAAGTGGGTCAGCATTACCCTACATCCAGAGGAAAGACTTGTAATAATAGTTGTGAAGTACTTTGCAAATATGAGGAAAAACTCACAACAATGGCTGTAAAGTGCTTTGCAAACACCAAATGAGATAACAATGATGGATTATTGTTAGGGTTGGAGGGGTTGGGAGGGAGTGGGGAAGACCAGGGACAAGCTTTGATGTGCTGGGTTATGGGGGGAGAGAGGGGCTAGACAAAAGAGGTAAGAGATTTGGGGGTCTGACCTTTTCTCAAACCACTGGGGCCATGCTCAGAATTATAAAAATCTATAGCCAAGTTCGAACATGCAGGCAGGGAATGAACTGGGAGCAAGGCTGACTATATACTTAAGAAGTCTCAAACCTGTCGCTCATGGAAAATATGAATTAATGATAATTTTTAGCAATCAAAGGCACTAAATGAATTGAGCCCTAACCCCAAGAATAGGACTCTAACTCCTCGCTTCCATCCATGCCCCACCAAAACAGATTTCTTTTCAAAGAGGGAAACAATCTCAGCCTGATTTCTTAGGCATCCAATTTAGAATGGATCCCTCTAGGAATTAAGGCAGATGACTCCCACCCAAGAGCCTGAAAGAAAAATGTGGGCCTGGAGGTTGCAGGACCCCACCCCTGACTTCCCTACAGAGGACTGACGCAATCAAGGCAAGGACTCCGACCTCTCCCCTGACCTGCTCCATCCATCTTGGGGAACCACCCACAGGCAGGGGTAAGCCAGTCAGGGCTGGAAGAAGGAAAAGCTAAGAAGAAGAGGGAGGAAGGAGGAGAAAGAAGGGAGAGAAATCAGAAGCCAGGGTCATGGTTGGCAACACCCACTGGGCACTGCCCAAAGGCTAGATTGTCTCCGGACTGCTGGAGAGAAAGCTCAG